GGTGGTTCAAGGCAAACAGATATACAACATCTGCTTCTCTCTTACCAAACGTCTTTTTTAACTGTGTGATGACCCTGGTGCACTGGTCACTGCTTACAACAGACTGGAATGATTTAGTTTGAAGTAAGTCCAGCTGTGCATGAACCTTGCTAAAGTCTCCAAATAGGAGCTTCCCAGAAACAACTTATTTATATTTGAAACTGTAATTGGTAGTTGTCACATTTCATGAACAGAGGACTGTTGGATTTGTCTTTGCAGTAATGTACAACTGTGTCGATCAGACTGTGGGTGGGCGTCACTGGTGGGGCAGGTGGATAGGTGTGGGGACAAATAAAAGTGAATTCATGTGATTTTTGTAGCAAAAACATAATAAATAGAACTTTATTTCACTTATATTCAACCTGGATCCTTTTCCATCGTTACCGATTACTGCAGTCTTAAAAACTCTTAAAACTTAAAAGTTGAGGGATGGAAGGTCGGTGAACAAGCTGCTGGTGGGGGTCTGGTGGCACTCTGGACATTTTCAGTGATATTCACTTTACTGCTCAGTAACTCTACAGGCTCAAAAACACCACAGAGCTATTCTGGAGTGATTTCTGATAATTACAATCTCTGTGTTTTTATGTTACAAGGAGATCATCTGGGGTAGGTCAAGCATGGATGGGATGAGTTGTATAGGAGGTCTTACGCTACACATTATTGAACCTGCGTGAGCCGTTAAGAGTCGCTGCTGTCCTAGTGCAAGTAAACGGTTACATTCTGTGGCACTGCTGTAATGAACACTCAGTGATCAGACCCACACACACACACACATTCAAATAATAAAGTAGGAAAACCTCACAAACTTAGACTTTATTTTTTTTAAAAAGAAAAAAAAGCAAACAGGTGACTCTTCCTTACAGGGAAAATGTGATTTTTTTTCCACAAACACATTTTATTTTCTGTTTAAGACACATGACCACATTTAATTTAAAAGAAAGAAATCCAACACCAGAAAGTAAAAACTTAGCTGCAGGTTCATTAAAGTTCATTTAACTTCCGCATTTAGATTAAAAAAAGTACTTTGACAAAAACATCATTGTTTATATGTAACATAAAAATGTCTGCCTTGCTCGTCTTTAAGCACACGTCAGCAGCAGTGCACCACATCCTTTGAAATTTGCCCATCTCTGCACATGAATGTCTTTTGATGTCTCCTTTGCTACCAATAGCTGGTTACGATTAAAGATATAAAACAGCATTAAACAGGCTTTCACTCATTGTCTCCTTCTAAGGTAGGACTCAGTGGGTGTGTCCTGTCCTGTCCAGGTGGAGTCATCTGACTGGCTGACAAAAGCTCTCCCACACTCCCACAGTAGAGCAGAGAACGCATGGGCCATTTCTGAGAAGAGACACAGATTAAGCCTGTGATCAGACGTCCAGCATGACTCTGGATAAATGTAAGAACAGCTACACATTCTGCAATTCTGTACATTCTGTATTTGAACCAGCTCATTACACTCAACGTGTGAACAAGCCACACTTGTTCAGTCTTACGGAGACAAACGTTAACATTTAACATGCTAACTGATGCCTGGAGATTCTGAGGTATAGCTCTTACTTCGTGGTACTGTGTTAACGCCTTGAGGCAACTTTTGTTGTTATTTGGCACTATATAAATAAAATTGAATTGAATTGAAATTGAATTGAATTGAACAAACACCTGAATTTTTTAACAAGCACTAAAGGTGCATCTAGGAACTGCAGAGAATCCTGTGAAAACCTCTTTTACTCGACTGTAGCTAAAAGTATTTTGCGCAGGCACAGTGAACATATTATTGACTAGTGATGGCCAATTATCAAATCTTTTCAAGTTGTATAATATATGTGAGTAAGACAATAATGGGCATAGCATGGAAGGCAGTAAGCCGTCACTTTCTAACCTTAACAGGATGCAGGTATCCACCCGGCCTTGAGGTCGTGTGCTCCGTTAGCATCCCTCCTTGGTCTAGGGTCTCTGTCAGGTGAGCTATGTAGTTAGTAGCCAGAACCAGAACATCCAACTTTGACAGCTTGGTGTCAGGTGGGACTGAAGGTAGAGCTGCCTGCAAAGAAGGGAGAAGCAGCTGTGACGGCCTCTTTTTCAGCCGTCACCAAAGACGGGCGTACAGCAGAACTACTGACAGTGCAGTGTAACGTAACAGCTCTGAGGCAAGTGTGTGTGTTTTGTACCTGCAGAGTGTGAAAGGCCTGCCGCAGGTTGCGTACTCTGCTCCTCTCTCGGGCTGCGTTTTCCGGGGAGTGCTGAGCCCTCAGCGCCCTGTTCAGGACCGCGGACCCACAACCAGAACCGGGGTTTGACCTGGACCCGCACACTGATTGTACCTGCTGCAAAGAGCATGCCGAGAACCTGACATTTCTGCAGACTGATTATCAAATATTACTAAAAGAAACAAAAGCGTTCTGATTTTGTGACTGCATTATTGCTGCTTTCAGGTAGTAGAGAAAATAAAGAGAATATTCATGAAGCTGCTCTGACAGTGTACAAAACACTGCTGCTTTAAGTTCTGCTTTAATGGAGAAGAAAACAGGTCAACCTGCAGGACAGACCCAAGCAGTCTGCTCACAAATATTTCATCAGCACACATCCACACATGATCGCTGCCGCTCGCATGTAAGTCAACAAGGTGACACAGTGACTACTTTGTTTGTTCTCCAAGTGCCCTTCTCTAATTGTCTGGGTTTCTCGGCGTTTCCATGTCACTACGGTTAATACAAACTGATTGAACCAGACCTCAGAAGAGGGAAGATCCTCCACACATTGTATGAGGCTGTGCCACAGCTGAGAAAAATACTGACTATATTTGGCTACTTTAAATAAACACATATTTTAGATGTTCTCATGAAATTCTTCATATAATGCAAGAAAGGTTTTGCAGTCTCCCACCAGCTGCTGGAAGTGATCAATCACTGCATTGCATAATTTGTCTGCAAAATCAGGGTCATGTTTGAGTTTGAGAAGAGGAAAAAAACCTGGAGCATTATTTCAAACTCACCCACTTCTTGGACTCCCGACTGCTGCGTACGCTCAGCTTGTGTCCGTGCAGGGAGGCTGGGCTCTGGGACGAAAGAGGCTGCCGGCTCTGCGGCTCGGCTGCACAGCCAGAAACCAGCCGGTGGTTTTCTGCAACCGACATGAGACCTTCCAGAGGATTCGCTGCCATGAGTGCTGCCAAAGTGCTGCAGTAGATTCCCTTCAAGTCTCGAGAAATTAAATTACATTCAGTGTGTTTTCATTGGACGGATGAAGCTTTATTTTCCAGTGCTGGAGATTGCTATGAGAGATACTTTCTTTTCCTAGGTACTTTGCTGGACCCAAAAGAAAACAGAATCTGAGGTCATCCCTTCATCTAGTGTGAGCACATTTTTGAAGTCAAATCTGTATATGAGATGTGACTAGTTAAGTGAAGAACAGCAGAAATGCTCATCTGATCTCATGAAGTTATTAATGAGATGATTTCCTGCTGCGGGCAGCTCCAAGCTCCTCTGGAGACTTCATGAGACTTCTGTGGGACACCAGTTCCACCCAGACCCTTAAACAATGGCTGCTTCTCTGCGAATCACCATCCACCCAGAGACATCCTCCCAAGTCTGACCGTCTCTGTCTCTATCCCTCTCTCGCTCTGGCTTTCCGTGAATCTCTGCTCGTTTCCTTATCGGGTGAGGTAATGTGGGGAACTTCATGTGGTCCTTATCTCAGCCGCCCGGTCATCCTGATCCTCCCCTGGCTGCTTGGTTGCCAAGAGTTCCAGGCAGGCAGGCAGTCAGGCCTGGGGGAGTATTGCTCTGGGAGGGTGTCCTGAGCCAGGGCACTGTGGGGGCCTTGGGAACCTCAAAGCTGTGCTAACAGCTGGAAACAGAATTCTGGGGCAGCGCGACATGAGATGTAACGGAGCAGTGAGAAATACATTTATGGCCTTGGAGCACTTTTGACTTGAACAGTCATGAATCTGATTTTGTGGCAAGCCAATGCTGTACATCACACCAGCAAGTATTTAGGATTAGGAAGGTAGTCAGGGCTGTCAAATCCAAAATCTTGGGCAACCCTAGCAGTGAGGCTCAGCTTCCTATTCCATGTAAGAAACGGAGAACTGAGCCTGAAATCAAAATCTGCGTCCGAGGCTTTTTGCTCAAAGGTTTTATTCTCACAGAGAAGCACGTGACATGCAGCAAAGGTCACCCAAGCTGGTTAGCAAGAACAGACACAGCAGGCATGTGGAGCATTTTAGCCCTCATCTGGATTACTGAACCTCAGAACCGGATAAGCTTTTTAATAACGCAAAGCTGGACAAGCACATCTGCATAATTCACTTATTAGATCCCACAAACACAAAAGACTGTTTAAGAAAGCAGATTACATAAGAATTACTTAATCTGATCATTTTACATTAGAAATTGATGTGAATGGAAATGAAAAGTTAGAAAGCTTTCTGCTGAAACTCACTCAAGCTGGTGAATACAGGCCTCAGACAAACACACTATAACTACGATAAAACGTTTCAATACAGAGAAATATACTGAACACACAAACTCATGCACAGAGGCTGGAGGAACACCTTTTGGCAGCACAGAAAGATTAAAATATTTTCTGAAGAGGTCAGAGTGACTTGTGAAAAAAA